GCATTCTGTAGTGTCAGTATGTTACATGTAACGTATGCCACTGCCAGTATGCCACTGCCAGTGGCTACTGCCAGTGCATGTGTTGTAGTACTGTGGAGTTTTTGCCTTAATTGGTTACAGGTGGCAGCTCTCTATTGCGCAGCCTGTAGGATTGCGTAGGTAAATGGATGAGTGCTTACCTATTCTTATTCTATCTTGCAGATAGTTGTTGCTAGAGTGCTACTACGTATGATATGGGAGCTTCCATCTTTAATCTGAAGACACTTAAACGTACGCGCCATCTCGTGGGAACTCATAACGATCCCAACGAACATTCTTTTGAGAAGGTTCCTGATACCATCCCTGTGCATTCCACTGTTTCGGCGTGTATGTGGACACATTTGGGACTAACAGGGTTTACTAGAATCCCTCCACTCCACCACAGAGTCACCGCAGTAGACGTTAGATGAGCGCTGTCGCTATGCGGCACTTGTGACACCTTTGTTAGGCGCAGATATGCAGATACGCAGTTGCGTACACATCATTTCAGCAACCTTCTGCATTCTGCATAACTCCCAAATCCCATTGGTTGATACAAATCGCGTGCCTGAAACTAATGTTTTATGGTGCATTGTGACCCTAACCCTATTAAAACACTACGCACAACTTAAACGTTACGTTTATAACCGTAGCAACAGACCTCAGATGAGCCCAGACGCTCTGCGGCTCTTGTTATATTTATACATTTTTATTTATATCTTCAATAGTAGCCGTGTGTTTTACCTATATATGCTTTTTATATTATATATGTATACCTAAATAAACAATTTTTTTAATAAATGAGATTTTTATGAAAGTATATATATATATAAATCCTGATATATATCATTGTTTTATGTCATTACTACACAGTGGCTCGTTCACTTACAGAAAATCATTACTTTATCAGCAGCGTCACACCTTGTATGACTGGATGCGTATCATATATACTTCTCATCAGTGAATGTAGACATATTGTATTGATACAGCACGCTGTTTTGCAAATACACTACCAAGAGCGTATAAAGAAGGTAGAAGGTATAAAGAAGGTATAAAGACCTTCTTTATATACGCTCTTGATACTACATATCTCTACGCACGTGTATATAACGCGCAAAGTGAGCGAATGACGTCGTTGCTATTAATATCGCTCAAGTCACCTGTAGTTTGATTGACGTAGCTATGCTTATCTCACATACCGGTGATTTCTACCCAGAGAGCTGCAGATATGCGAATTTACGATGGCGCCTTTGTGTGTTTTGCTGTTGGCCTCTTAGCGCGTTGCACCACCGAGGTAATATCAGGGCTACACAACCACCTAGCAACACCTCATTCGGCATGAGCTATAACGGGGTGGACCTCATATTGAATATCGTAGCAGTAGCAATCCATATTTATAACGACTATATAGTATCTCAGATTTCTGTGTGGAAATAACAGTCACATAGCGTAATGGCTATGGATGAAGGCAACGACGATTTAAATAAGGGAATTTACGTTTCCTCACGAGGATTTGACGCAGGAGCATCACAGAAAGGTAATGGTACTGCTGCTACCAATGGAGAAGACACATCTAAGTAAGTTCGTTTTGCTCTTTACATCCGTAAATACGGAAACAAGCTAAAACGGTAAACCCGTAAAACGCAAATACGGAATAGCTATTATTGTTTTATCAAATTATAATCATCATTATAATAACAATAATTTGTAATCGGTTATATATTATGTTATATTATTAATTGTAACTGGTTTGTTACATTAGAGTATATAATATATATATAGTATAATTTAGAATTTTAGATAGAAACGAGAACAACACAGAGTTGTACGTGTTCAGCCAACGAGTATTATTTCCAAAACCTCACGCTTCAAACAAACCAACACCGGCCACCGACTTCCAACCAACTCCGAATAATTAAGGTATTTATCCCCCATTATTCCCCCACTGTGTCCCCCACATGCAGGGGCGTAAATCCGTGCCGAATAATAGGGGGGGGGGATGATCGGCGATAGCCATCACATACTAGCACGAGCACAAGCCCACAATAATTTACGCACACGCGCGCGATCGCGCACGCACGCAGGCAGGCCCTCGTGCCGTAGGCATGCCAGAGCTAGGGGGGTGTGGGGGCATGCCCCCCAGAAAAATTTGAAATATTTAAGCCATTTTCCTGCAATCTGAGGCATACTGTGGGCCATATTCTCATGTCTGATGACACTATCTCAACCCTAGACTCAACCCTACAAGTTAGGATTCTAAACACTTTTCATGACCTTTCAGAGAGCGTACACAGTTAGGTTACTATAGTAATAATACATGTATTAAAACACAGGTAAGAATTGCAATTTCTCACAATTTCACGTGTTTTTGTATGTTTGCAACCATACTTTTTGGCTATTTGTGAGTCTGGAAACATTTTCTTGAAGAATTCATTTGCATGGTCTGCCGCCCTCAAAGGCACATTGTCAGGGCCGGACTAAGCGTGTGGGGGGCCCGGGGGCGAAATTTTTTTTCCCAAACGGTATGACATAGCGAAGAATTTAGCGCCTTCTGATTGGTTCTGATTGGTTCATCCTGCCTCCTGATTGGTTCAAAAACAGGCTGCTTGGCTTATTTAGCATATGTCATGTACTGTTTCTTATATATCCTGTGTGGCGTGGTGGATAGAACACCGTCGTTACTTCTGAAAGGTCGATGGTTCGAATCCGGTTTGGTTTTTAATTATTTTTTTGTTTTCTGTATTTTTAAATCGTATTTTGCAAAGTTTATGCATTTAAAATGAAGAGGAGTTATCCTAGTATAGATTTATATAATGACATTCTATCAGTAGACATCAATTAAGAAATAGGAGGAAGACCTTGCATGTAAGGTCCCCCGCTGCGTATACCAGCCAGTACACAATCTGGCTACGTTAGTGTGTTAGCGCTTGCGCAACATCTCACCAGAGAAGTTATATTTTGTGATGAATATGCATTTAAAATGGTTAGGGGGTATCTCAGCATAGATTTCCCTAATAAACTTTTATCAAGAGACCTGTGTTTATAATTTGGGGAGCGCCCTAGCATGTAGGGTACAAAACACCTACTTTATGCCCTCGCATGCTTCCCCTTGCCTCGCCTGTCCCTCGCTCAGCCTCTTTCTTCTTCTACCGCCCCAGCTTTCTTCTCTGCCAGATTTCCTCAGTCTCCCATCCCCTCCCCCCCTCAGCAATCAATATTATGATGTTTGCCTCAGACGGCACTGCACGCCTAACACGGTGTGCGCGCATGCGCAATATCTCCCGAGAGAAATCGTATTTAGCAAAGATTATTCATTTAAAATGAAGAGGAGTTATCCTAGACTAGATTTATATTATAACATTCCATCAGTAGACATCATATAATAAATAGGAGAAAGACCTTGCATGTAAGTTCCCCGCTGCGTATTCCAGCCAGTACAGAATCTGGCTACGTTAGTGTGTTAGTGCATGCTCAATATCTCACCAGAGGAGTTATATTTTGTGACGAGTATGCATTTAAAATGGTTAGGGGGTATCTCGGCACAGCTTTCCCTTATAAACCTTTATCAGTAGACCTGTGTTTATAATTTTGAGAGCGCCCTAGTATGTAGGGTACAAAACACCTGCTTTATGCCCTCGCGTCCTTCCTCTTGCCTCCCCTGTCACTCGCTCAGCCTCATTCTTCTTCTACTGCCCCAGCTATCTTCCCTGCCGCCTTTCCTCAGTCTCCAGTCCCCTTTCCCCCTCAGCATGCTATATTATGAAGTTTGCCTCAAACGGCACTGCACGCCTAACACGGTGCGTGCGCATGCGCAATATCTCCCGAGAGAAATCGTATTTTGCAAAGATTATGTATTTAAAATGAAGAGGAGTTATCCTATCATATATTTATATGATGACATTCCAGCAGTAGACATCATTTAATAAATAGGAGGAAGACCTTGCATGTAAGGTCTCCGCTGCGTATGCAGGCGAAAAATATCCACATCCAAGTGTGACCTAGGGCCCTGCTGGCGCAATAGTACACTGTGCAAGTGATGCAGCCTACTTTTCTTTGCTGGAGGCGGTATAGCTTACAACTAAGGCTTACGACACTCTACTATATATAAGAGGCCTTAGGCCCCCTTCATACACAATACTGTATATGTGGCCTTGGTGGGCCGCCAGCATACCCTATACTACAATACTATATAGATGGCATTAGAGCACCTTCATAATACAATACTATATAAATTATGTGGCCTTGGGCCCCCATCATAAACTATTCTATTTTTACAATGCTATATAGGTGGCCTTAGGCCTCCGCCATACAAATACTATATATGTGGCCTTGGCCCCCACCATACACTATTATTACAATACTATATAGGTGGCCTTAGGCCTCCGCCATACAAATACTATATATGTGGCCTTGGCCCCCACCATACACTATTATTACAATACTATATAGGTGGCCTTAGGCCTCCGCCATACAAATACTATATATGTGGCCTTGGCCCCCACCATACACTATTATTACAATACTATATAGGTGGCCTTAGGCCTCCGCCATACAAATACTATATATGTGGCCTTGGCCCCC